AGTGAGGCAGCCGCAGTGCCCCGTGGTTTTCCTTAAATGCGAGCTGCGAGTTCGACCCCGCAACCTGCTTTTCTCCTTCGGCTTTTTACCATGGTGCCCACCTTCTTTGTGATTCTGCCCTAACTCTCCTTCCTCCTTGTTCGGCTCTTTACGCAAGGGGTAAGAGAATTATTTTCATGTCAAAAATACATTGTTAGGGATACGTCACTGCGAAATATCTTGAAATAATTTGTTGCCCTATAATTAGGATATTTTGTTACTTAACAGAGTCCGTTACTCAACAAAGTCAACCAACACAGCGAATAAGGGGCTTTTCATTTCAAAGCAATTTTTGATGGGTGAAAGAGCTATAAGTTTTCAAAGAGGAGTTTTTAAAGGGAAATAAAATAGGTTATATGATAATCATAAGAGAGGAGGACACTAAGACCCCGTTCGAGGCGGCGGTAGGGGAGCAGCACGACAGGACACCGTGTTTTTCCTGTTTTTGGGGTAGAGAGGTAGCCGCGATGCTCTGCATTTTTCCTTAAATGCGGGCTACGGGTTCGACCTCGAGACCTGCTTTTCTCCTTTGGATTTTTTCTATGGTGCACACCTTCTTTGCGATTCTGCCCTAACTCTCCTTCTTCCTCGTTCAGCTCACACTCCCTGATTCGTGCTACACTTTTCCCGTGTTTCTCACATTTTATACAATATATGTGAATGTCTTATTCGTTGAATTTGTGATGTTTGATTTGAAAATGTTGTTCGGTGGTATGGATGTGTGATTGGATGTGAATGCTACATATCCTTGGTAGCCCGATTATTTTTTTGGTTAGTTGTATGAAAAAAAAAATCATTATTGCTTGGAGCTGACAACAATCTAATGTTGAATATTTTTGAATGAGGGTCTATATTGGTTGTGGCATGGTCATTGATGCGAATACACATCATTTGGGTGGTCTGCTTGAGGATCTAATAAAGAAAAAAAAGGAAAAACAAATTATTGTAGATGAGGCTTGGGCATTGTTATTGTTCTTTGGAGTGGCTTTGCTTGGGGTTGTAGATGTGGCTTGGGGTTGTGAATGTGGATTGGGGCTTGATTATCGGTGTGGCATGTTGTTTTGAAGTAGTTTTTTGCTTCTCAAGTATCAACTATATTGTCATGAGAGTTCTGTTTTAAACAACATTACTGCACAGGGGCAAAATAAACATTTATCCAGAAATAGCTATCATACAGCTATTTTCAAACTGTAAAAAGAAAATAAACAACCAGCTTTCCCGCAGCAGTTTCCTGGGATAGCTACTGCAAACCAGCTTATTGGATAACCTGCAGCTACCCCAAACAATTCCTAAGGGAACAAGGAGAAGAAGAAAAAGGAAGATAAAGGCAGATTCTCTGGTACTCTCAAATACTATTCTATCTTCTTTCTTTTTATTATATATTATTGTTTATGATAACTAAATCTATGAAGTTTAATACTCATGTTTCAGTATTACATACATGATTCACCTAAAAATAACATGTTTTTAGTGCATACTTTATAAGCATTTTATGTATCTTTTTGATGACATTGCACTTTAAAAGAATGTATTTTGCATGTTTTTGGTTTCAGGTACTTGAAATAGATATTTAGAGAAAATGAGGGAAAAGTAGAGCAAAATTGAAGTTTTTTGTGTGGCGCTATAATGCTCCAAATTAGCGTTATAGCGCCAGTAACTATCTTTCTAGAAGATCCATTGAATTTGATCGAATTTTGGAGCGGTGTTTGAAGCAACCATTGGTTATTTTCTATTTTCTATTAAATGGGAAGGATTTCTCCAAATTTAGAGACCTTTTGGAGCCTCAAAACTTCAATTGGGCCGCAATAGCTAGTTAGGATTTTCATATTTTGTGTTCAAGTGTAAGTGTGAGTGTGTTTTAGTGTGAAAACGTTCGGAGATTGCTTAAACGAAACTCCAGAAGTTTACTTGGGGAGAAGACATAAGGTATTTTGTATTTGTGTTCAAGTTTTTGTTGTAAGACTTGGATTGCAATGCAAATGTTTTATTTTTGTTTAATCTCCATGAATTCATAGTAGTTCTCTTTCTTTTTTCCTTGCATATGAAACATCTTCTGGGATGAGAATGATTTAAAGATTTCTTTTTACTCTTAAAAATTGTGATGTTATTTTCGCCAAATATTCATTTACTTTACAAATTGGCCACTTGTGATGTTAAAATCCATTGAGTAACATAATAACCTGGGAGGGCTATGATTTCACAAAACTAGTAGATACCACACTTCATTCTAGGCAGAGCCATTGCGATCACCTAAGTGGGAGTGCAAATAAATAGGAAGATAAGTTTTGATAGACATAGAATTTGTTAGTTCTAGAGTGACAAACTAGATTCTTATCAATTTGGCTTAAGGTTTAGTACCCTGACACTAGGATTCGACCATCATGGTGGCATAGGCTTAGGGGCATCTAGAGATGAGAGGCTAGATAGTTCTGATGCAGAATCGAAATGTAAAGGAATTGGCCTTAAGTTAGACAATGTTCTTTGCTAGCTCTAGGAGGGGGTAAAGAATGATATATGCTTCTATTTGTCACAATACATCAATTTTGTTTTAAATCACTTGAATCCTACATAGATTAAAATCTCTTTGCAAGGGGAAAAGCTTTCCATAATATCCAAACTCTCTGTTATACTTTTTTAAGCTATTATATTTAGTTGTTAGTTTCTCTTTAACTCTTTAATAGTAATTTTTAGTAAACATATCATTTTAGACCTCTTATATATTTAATTTGTAATTTAAATAGAAATTCTCTAAGTTGATTTTAAGAGTTACCGCTTTCCTCGTGGGATTGATAGTGGGGTTTTTAAGGAAAATTCTACATTACTCGAAACGATACGTATACTTGCGTAGTACCCATACTGTGAAAATTTATTATAAATCATTAGATTTGTTCACACTAGCCGCTAGATATAATTTGAGATATATTTTCTGGAAAAATTTTGGAGATTAAAAATACACGTAATTGTTGGTCGAGTCAATACACTAATTATGTACATTGGATTTAAAGTTAGAATCAATTAATTATGACTAAGTTGATCTAAGTTGAATATTATTTTTGTTTACTAATTGTTTAGTTTGCTCAAACTTAATTGAGCTCGCCAATAAAAAATTAAAAATCTATTGGCATCTATTGATTTTGGAAGAGTCATTAGAGGTTCCAATATAAATAATATAACAAGTTCTTGAGTAAGAAAGAAATTATTGATTTAGTGATTTGCATCATTTAATAAAAGGTGTATAAGGCAATCATTCATATTAAAGTATAATAGATTAGTTAGATATGATTAGGGGTTTCTAATCATCAAAATATTTGGATAACAATAAGTTTTATTGGTTAGTAATTTTTTTTAGGCTCAAGGAAAAAAAAAAGTAAATTATGTAGGAAAAATGTCAAAACAAAAATCATAAATAAGAGGTGTTTTCTTTTTATTGTTAGGTTAAAAAACAAAATAAATAGTAGATTTGTTTTTCATGTTCTAAAATAATTTTTTGGATGATAATCAAACTTATTATGTATTTCATATTTTGCACGTATACTTATGTTATACACTAGATATCTAACTTTCACCCATGTAATTGATTTGTTTTTCATGTTCTAAAATAATTTTTTGGATAATAATCAAACTTATTATGTATTTCATATTTTGCACATATACTTATGTTATACACTAGATATCTAACTTTCTCCCATGTAATATTTGTGCTTCATAATGTTTCTAGAGATTAAATTGTCTTTTAAACTCTTACACACATAATATATATTATAATTACAAGTGAAAGATGTATCCACATATTACACCATAAATCACATGGTATCTAGCCACTTTCCCCCTTTTCGAATTACAAAAAATAAACACATGGCTAAGATAATAACTCCTTTTCCATAGGCAAAGCAATAGGTCTAAATACACTAGCTTTAACAGCTTCAAAAACATTGATAACTCTTCCTAATGTGCTCCCCTAAATCCTTTTCATGTGCTTAATAGAAATAGTTAAGATATGTTAACCGGACAAAATCTTAGAATTTTCTTCGCTTTATAAAATGTTAAGCACATAAATGCATTGCTTTGAACACTAGAAAAAAAATCTGAAAGTTCTTAATCAACATTATTTTCTTATAAATTTGAGGCTTTGTGTATTATTTTTTTTTTGAAGAAACTTCATAAATTAATTGATCTAGAGCTCATCGGAGTTCGTACATTAATTCTTTTATAGTTTTGAACTTCTCAAACGAAATAAGAGAATGCCAACCTATAATACCTCTAATCTCTTATAATTAATCAACTCAATTATTAATATTGAACCAACTTTTACAAATTGCTAACTCTTAAACATGCTAACTCTTCATTTACCAAAACAAATTAATTTGTTCCTGTCAAATAAACAACCGTGTAATTTATGAGAGGAACAAAATATTTGGATACCATTAGATGCATTAACTAATAAAAAAACAATCTTTTCTGAATTATCTACAAATGTAATGAAAAGAAACAAAACATTGAAATCTCTGAAAACAAACTTATTATTGATTTCTGCTTTCCAGCTTCTTTCACTCCACTCTCAAACCTAAACAAACTGAAAGCCCTAATAATTTTCATCTCCGTCTCCGAGCTCAAAGAAGTGATTCTCTCCTCTTGAGCGTGTCTCAGGCCAAGCTAACACTTTGGAAGATCACTGGGCGGCGGCAACAGGGACTCATTGGCCCCCTCTCCATCCTCCACCAAGAAGGCCATCTTCAGCCCCCAACTCGTGTGCACCTCAAAATGGCAGTGCAAGAACCAAACCCCTGAAACCAAAAAACAAAAAAAATTAGCAGCCATATCATCAAAGTTTCCTGTTTTACCTCATCTCCGTACCTGGGTTGTCTGCTTTGAATCTAATAGCCGCCCAGCCACCGGACGGCATGCCGATTGTATTCCTTTCAATCGGGTCCACGAGGTTAAACTTGGAAGGCGAGGTCTTGGGGTCATAGTTCCCAACCCCTTGCCCAACCACAAAGAAATTGAAGCCGTGCAAATGAATGGGGTGGCTCTCCGGCGCAATGATCCCCGTGTCCTGTAACACCACCTGCACCGTCGAGTTGTAGGCGATGCGATACAATCTTGTCCCGTTCGTTGTCTGCAAGTTCGTTGGGCCGCTCCCCGTGTAGTTGAATGCCACCGGTGGCTTCCCGGGGAAGTCCGTTGTAAAGACTCCTTGCTTATTGAAGAAATGCGCCTCAAGTAAAGCCATTTCCGGCATCACAAAGCTAACATTGTTGATTGCCGCCACGACGCGGCTGCCGTTGATACAAGTCGGGCAGGGGTTTATGCCAAGCCCGATGGTGAAAAGAAGGGAGTGGTCGACGTTCTGAGGGACATTGGCGGGATATGTTTTGGAGTTGAGGCTGCGGAGAGAGTCGGCGAAGCTAGTGGCAAGCGGGGTGGCGTTCCTCTGAGGCACTTCGACGGTGCTGAGGGGAGAAGTGGCAAGAGTGCCTTTATACTGCAAGGTGGCGGTTGCGGTATGGTTGTCGACCGCAATGATCATGGCGTCCATGAATGTGGAGGCGGTGACGAGGTAGTTGCCTGAGCTTTTGTCTGTGGTAAGGAGGACGTTGGTGGTTTGGCCTGGGGTGATCAGCACCGTGTCGACAATGAATGGTTTTGTGTAGACGGCGTCGACCTCCACCACGGTGAGCTTGTGCCCGGCTACCTTGAAGAACAGGTCCTCGTTGAGTGCAGCGTTGACGATTCGGAGCAGGTATGTTTTACCTCTGTTCACCTGCAATTTGTAACCATCTGTACGTACGTGCGCCATTAAATTACAACTCTGATAGAAGATTATGATTAACAATAGTTTGGGTTGGATTCCACCTTGTGGAGAAACACAAGTAGAAATTGGTCCGGGATGGCCGTTGATGGTGTGTGCATCGGAGATGTTGGGAGCTTGGCCGGTTTTCGTTGCCTGATTTATCACCGCCTCTGTGTCGGCCTTCCACCATTCGCCTGCAAATCGAATTTACAGGAGATGATGTTCGCGGAGTTTGATGATGAACAGAGAAGTGGTGGGGGATTGATCAGTGAATGGGTGAGTAGAGTACCTAAGATGAGGACGAGCTCTTGATGGGGATTGGGGAAGGGATAAGGGACGTGGAGCTTAGGCTTGATAACGATGGCGCCATGGACGGTGGCTCTAAGCCACAGGATATGGGCGTGGTACCAAAGAGTCCCTCTTTGGCCGGTGAGGGTGAAGTTGTAGACGTAGCTCTGTCCGGGTTGGATTGGGCACTGTGTGATGTATGCAGGTCCGTCAGCCCACCCTGTTCGGATCTGCTTTACTCCATGCCTGTGATTGATGTATCATCTCTTAGGTTTGTTGTGCTGGACTGAAATGTTACTGGAAGGGAAATTACTTGATTCTGCTCTGTAATTGTGTTTTGAAAATTTTTATGTATTTACATGTTTTAACACTAAAATTTCATATTTACATAACACTCAAAAATTTAAAATCACATAAAAAATATCACTTTTATTACTTTTTAGAAGTAAATTATTTTAAAACCACATAAAAAGTATCATTTTTATTAGCATTTTAGAATTGGACTGACTAAGATGTCAAATTTTTTAGTTTTATATTCTCTAGCTTATAGGAAAGAGCTTTTTAATTTTTATTTTATTTTTCACTCTATCTCGTAAATCTCTAGTTGGGTCAAGCCATTTTGTTTTTCCCTTCTAGGGTTTTCTTGTCACACATTATGAGTTTTGCTTATTTGGTTACGTGAAACTTTATGTAATTCTAAGGGTTTGTTTGGGGCAGCTGCAGCTTATTGAATAATCTACTGATAAGCTGATTAAAAATAATCTGTTGATAAGTTAGGTGCGGTAGCTATTATAAATTTTTATTTTTTTTGGAAAAGCCAGACCGCGGTCAGAAAGCTACCACCGCACCTAGACATGTACGGTGTGAAAACACTGTTTTCAGCGTTTTGATAAAAAATTGCACAGATTGTCAAAAATTCATATTCCATCGGTCGTTGTAATTTTTCTAGCATACAACCATAATAATATCAAAACATTTTTGTTTATTTTTAATGATATAATAATGTTGCAAATATATGGCAGAAATAAAGAGAATTGTTTTATGAAGTATATATGAAACATCCTACATATTTTTAAAATCAGATATCTATATTTAAATGGCTATTTTTTTCCTTATTAAGATAATCAAAACTTGGATAATTCATCAAAACTTCTATATTTTATTACATAAATAAATTAATAATAACTAAAAAGATATTTTGCTAATTTAATTAGTCTATTGTATTTTACATTAAGATTAATTCTTATCCATTAATAAAAAAACTTGACAATATTAGTCTTTCAATATGTTCAAGAGGTTAATAGTCCATTTATCAGTCGAAATGTGCAATAAATTTAAGCATTTTGGTATAATCCAACAAAAACTTTTTAACACAATTCTCGATTACATAATGACTGATCAACCAACACTTATACTTTAAAAGGATAAGATTCTTTAGACGATATGGAGTTAGGTTCATGAGGCCATCTAAACTTAGCAAGATAGTGCTTCAGGTGCTTTTATTAAGTTGGCAGTTGAATGGTCAATTAGATTATGGTGGAAATTAATTAAGAACTGCAATTCGTTCTATTGAATACTCACCAGTGGATTGTAACATTATACTTGACATGGTTGACTACCTTCACGAGCACGTTGTCGCCTTCTCGGGCTGATAGCGTCGGCCCCGGGAACTGCCCGTTCACGGTGACAATGGGCTTGGTCGAGCAAAGCCGGGTCGCATTTCTCGTCACAATCTGTGCAATTTTTATCAGCACATTCCAGTTATGACAAATATATATATATATATATATATATATATATATATATAGAGACATTCAGCTTGATGTGGTTCACTACCATATAAGGAGCACGTTACATTGGATCGTTAAATGCCTTTCAAGTTAAGGTTAATATAGATAGTAATATGGAAAACATGCTAGACGTTTGTACATGAAAAAAAAGTGGTATGAAAACAGTGGGGTTTTCCGGCGATCTATGGAGGACATGATGGAAGTTCGTCACGTGGATAAATTGGGGCCGTTGGATTGGGATTTTATGGAGGAGCTTCTGTTGTGTTATTTGGAGCTGAATGAACAAGGCGTTCATAAATATATTCTTAGAGCGTTTACGGATCTAACGGTCAGTTTTCGCCGGAGAGAAGGGGAGGAGCGGCGGAAAGCTTCGATGAGGAGGCGGAGGCTTGGGAGAACGGAGAAAATTCCGGTGGCCGGAGGGCGGTTTCCGGCGGGTTGGTAGTTCGAGTTTACAAGATTTTTTTTTCTTTTGTGTGATTCATGTAAATAAATAAATAAATAAATGAAAATTGCCTCACTAATCATATTTGAAGTGGAGTCCTCGTCGATAACTGTCATGTATAGTATTATATATATATATATATATATAATGAACAAAAGTGAGCCATCTTAGTCTTTTGATTGAGCGAAAAAGCTTGCAGCAAATATGACTTGGGTTCAAGACCATGGTGTGTGTGTGTGATTGAACAAGAGCACTTACATTGAACTTGTAATGCCGAGTCAAACCATTGGCAATTGCGGGAAACAAGGAAATCAAAAGCAGAAGACTTCGAACAGACTCCATATTACCAGCTCCTTCCTCCCCTCCCAATCACCTTCTGCTGTTCTTCTTCCTTCGCTGAGAGAATGAATTTGCACAGTCGGACAATGTCAAGACAATCAGTGCTTAAAAAGAGTAGGAAGCTATAGCTGCAATGTCGTTTTAGATATTAGGTGAGGTGATGAGCCTTAATCAATAAGGTTTTGGTAGAGATAACTACATGTTTTCCCCCCGTTTCTTTCTCAACATTTCTTGATTTCTACACAAAGTTGCTTTCTTTTCCTGCATGTTAAATTTGTAAACCTGCTCCTTTCAGCCCTCCGTCGACCACCTGTTGGTTGAAGGAGGAGGGAGTTGGTGAGAACCAAACTTGCGCCATATTAGATAAAATAAATTCGAATGTTGTCTTTGCCAATATTGAGTTTTGGGGAAAAAGGAACAGTTCCAATGTGCTAAAAAATGAATATAGTGATGACTAATGAGGCTAATTTATGATTTATGCCCGCGCTGCTGTAACGAACTGCTCGACGACCAATCAACCAGGGGGCTATCCAACAAAAGAAATGACTACTCAGAAGACAAAAAATACGAAAATTTCCAAACAACAAACAATGATTTATGTTCGCGCTGCTGTGTGTGTGTCTGTATGTATGTGTGTGTGTGTGTGTGTGTGTGTAGGGCAAGAAGGGTTCAGCGGCGAGACTAGGATAAGAGACAGTCGACGGACCAACTAGAAACCGAACTACTCTGTATTAATGTATGATTTATGCCCGCACTGCTGTAAGTGTGTGTGTCTGTATGTGTGTGTGTGTGTGTGTGTGTGTGTGTGTTATAAAAGAAGGGTTCAGCGGCGAGACTAGGATAAGAGACAGTCGACGGACCAACTAGAAACCGAACTACTCTGTATTAATGTATGATTTATGCCCGCACTGCTGTAAACTGCTGTGAGTGTGTGTGTCTGTATGTGTGTGTGTGTGTGTGTGTGTGTGTGTAGGGCAAGAAGGGTTCAGCGGCGAGACTAGGACAAGAGACAGTCGACAGACCGACTAGAAACCGAAGTGCTCGACGACCAATCAACCAGGGGGCTATCCAACAAAGGAAGTGACTACTCAGAAGACAGCAAATACAAAAATTTCCTAACAATAAACTATGAGGCGATCCGAGACAGGCTGACGAAGGCCAATGGATTACCAAAATATCAAGGGCATAACCAACATTTTACATATGATTATAATTTCCTATATAAAAATAGGAATAGTAAATGTAATAGGAGACCACCATATATGAAGAATTGACATGAAATTTAAAATTTCTCTCCTTCTTACACTCCATTCCTTGAGTGTGATCCAAATATAGGCTTCAACAACTTAAAAGATGCGGTGAGTCCAAATCATGCGATAAACAATAAGAGAAGTAACTCAAGGGCAAAAACCCCAACTCAAGGAAACTGCTAACGACATGAACTGCACTCGCGACTTTGTGAGTTAGCAAATTAGCGATCTCAAAGAACAGATGATGGAGGCAATCCGAAACGAGGTCGCCCCACAAAGGCACAACCATAGTGACTTGCAACATATCATCATCCACGAAGAACCATTGCCTTTCAAACAAGAAGAATAGTCCCAATTGTCTTGGAAGGGGAGCAAGATACCCATTTTCCTGATAGCATGGGTTTTGCATCGCTCAACCACCTTAGATACGAACACACTGAGGTACAGTGGCCTATGCAACTAGATAATACTTTCTCAAGATAAATCACGGAGGCCAAGCCCCTAATCCCGACACAATATGTGCGTTCTTAGTATGTAATTACTTCAATTTCAAATTTAGACAAACGTGCCAAAAAACTTGACTCCCACTGCCTGTATGTGCTTGTACCCTTAATTCTCGACTGAGTGCTATTTAACAAATAATTCTCATTTTTTCTCCATAATTCAATTTTACACACTAGAGATACTACACAAGTGCACGTATCGTTTTAAGTAATATAGGACTTTCCCTTAGTCCCCAAGTATCGATTCCACGAGGAACGAAAAACTCTTTTTAATGACTTAGTAAAACTCTACTTAAACTGCAGGTAAATTACCTAGGAATTAAAATCAAAACTTTATATGTAGCAGTAAGTAAATTTCAAAAACAGGTTTAGCAAGTAACGTCCTAAGTAAAGGACTACTATCACTTACATACAATATATATATATATATATATAGTGAGCTTG